AGAAACAGACTACACTTTATTTACCCACCCATCAGTTGGTGGATATTTGGGTTGTTTCCACATTTTAGCTGTTATGAGTAGTGTGGCTACAAAATTGGAAATTTGTGTACAAGTTTCCATGTGGATTTACGTTTCCACTTCTCTTGGGTATACAGCTAGGGGTGGAAGCGTGTTGATTTTTTGTAGATACTCCGACAAACTAAGGAGTTACCTTCTGTTTCTATTATAGTAAAAGTTTTCTCTCTTCCTTCTTTATTATTTTTTTTCTCTCCTCCTTCTTTAAATGTTAAGGTGATCATATAATATTTGGATTTTATCCTTAAATCAACCAGGTATTTCTTGAATAAACCTAGGGTAGTCATGATACAGTCTTCTATAAATACACTACCAGACTTGGTTTGCCAGTATCTTAGCTTTTTTGAATCTGTGTTCATTAGTTAGACTGATCTACAATTTTCCTTTCTTGTGATGTCCTCGTCAGGTTGTTGTATGGTTATGCTAACCTTAAAAAATCGTTTGATAGACTTTGTTGATTAAGATAGGCCTACAGTATCCTTTGTGGGGAAGTGTAAAATTATGGATCTAATAGTTATAGACAATTCAGGTTTTCTATTTCTTCTTCTGACAGTTTTACTAAATTACATTTTTCTAGGAATTGTCCAGATCATCTGAATTTGCTGACACACAGTTGTTCATAATATCCTCTTATTTTAACTGTTTTCAGAATCTGTAGTAATGGCATTTTTTTCTAGTCCTCATACTGGTGATCTGTCCTTTCTCCCTTCTTCCCGCATTAGTCTTGCTGCAAATTTTATTAGTTTTGTTTCAAAAAATCTAACTTTTGGCATTGCTGCCCTTGTCTCCTGTATTAACTTTTCTATCTCATTGATATTTTAGCTCTTCAGTATTTCTGACAAACACCGCCAAGGCAAAAAGTTGGTCATGAACCCTCTCAGATCTGAGCCCAGTGATTCCTCATGGTCTGTTTTTAAAAACTTTACTGATAATTTTAAGATTAAAAAAAAATAGTGATCTAGCTTTTTTAGCTGTCTTTGATGGGAAGGTTGGTAGAATCTCCCCATCTGCCAGTACTGGATACAGAAAACTGTAAAAATTGAACTGCGTATCTAAGAAATTTATGCTGCTTATATGTATTACCTATTCAAAAATACAAAAATCATTTAAAAAACAGAGTGGCAGGTAAATGGACATTTTATATATTCCTGGTGGGAGTATACATTACTAGAATCTTTTGGGGGAGCAATCTGGAAAAATGCACCAAAACTCAAAAAGGGGAAATAACCCAAATGTCCACTGGCAGGTGAATGATACAGGAATTTCTTATGGCATATTTATACATTAGTGCTCCATTTAAATGTAAATACTCCTTTGAGAGGGTAAATTCAATGAAAGTAAATGAAGCAAATGTCATACTTCAGTGTGAGTTAGCTGAAAAGGCATTTGACTATGGCACGAGGAAGGGATATAGAATACTGAAGCAAGGTTAAGACTTCCATTTCTGAGCGGGGCCCTACTTAATATTTCCAAACTTTAGCCTTATCTTAAGTGTTACCTACAAGTTGTCATATGGAAAACACCTGTACCCTTGGAAGAGAAACTAACTCATTGGTTCTCTATACCACAGCGGTGAAAATACTGGAAAGGTGACCTTACTCAAACACATGTTCTGGAGTTGGAACCAGCACCGGCCGTGCTTGTAGCCTGGGTGCTGGTGGACCTGTTCACATCCTCCCTGGTGACCAGCACCGAGTCTGCAGAGCGGCTGTCAGAGCCAAGTTTTAGGACACAGTTATGGCTGCAATCATAAAAGGGAGGAGAACACTAACACCAGCATTTTCCATGTCCTGCTGTGGTTAGAACAGTTTTTGCAGACGGACTCATGGAACAGTCCATTAAACCACATGATTTTAGAGCAGGGACCTCAGAAACTGTATGATCTGTCTCTCTGCAACCTTGCCAATCTTGGTATGGTAATCTTGGTTACTCCTCTATGCTGTTATTTACGTGACTTCTTTTTCTGATGGTTTAATTTTGCTTAAAGTTACTGTTTTTTTCTGATCTGGGTATTAAAAACTCAAAACATTATAAAAATACAGAATTACAAAAGAAAATCCTCCCATAATTCCATCACCCAAAGATAACCACTAACAGTTTGTTGTTTATTCCTTCTAATTTGTTCTCTAGAAGATGCTAAATTGTATACATTAAAAGAAGGTAACATAATAGCACTTGTACTGTTTTGAAATGTCTTTCCTCCTTTTAGTGTGTTGTGGACAACTCTGCATGCCTGTATAACAGAGTTACTTCTGTCTCACTACATAGCTTTTGGACAGCCTACTTTGCCCTATCAGTATATACCTGAGTTAATTCTTCTTCTCTCCCTCACCCCCTGCCCCATAAATACAACGCTTCAAAGTACTTTTCTAGAGGCACACTTGTGCAGACAGACATGTGTTTCTATAATGGATTCCTAGAAGTAAAATCCTGGGACAGAGTACAGCTATTGTTAAAGTGTTCTTAAAGAAAATAAGAGTTTCTGTTTGCCTTAAGCAATATATCTAACACTGTATGTCGTTCACTTTTTTTTTCCTCCCAAAACAAGGTATATATTTCAAATCAGGCCACATTTTTTAAAAAGACTTTTTTTTAGAGCACTTTCAGATTCACAGCAAATAGAGAGGAAGGTATAGAAGTTTACCCATCTATATCCCCCATCACACAGCCTCCTCCATTGCCAACATCCCTCAGAGTGGTACATTTGTTACAACTGATGGATCTACGCCAATAATCATAATCACCCAAGACTATAGTTACATTAGGGTTCTCTCTTGGTGTGCGCACTCTATGGGTTTAGACTACTGAATAAAGAAATACATCCATCATTATGATATCATACAGCGTATTGTCACTGCCCTAAAAATCCTCTGTGTTCTGCCTATTCATTCCTCCCCTCACCAACCCCTGACCTTGTTACTGTCTTCATAGATTTGCCTTTTCCAGAATGGAATTACACAGTACGTACCCATTTCAGAATGGCTTTTTTCACTTAGTAACATGCATTTAAGATTCCACCGTGTTTTTCATGGCTTAATAGCCCATTTCTTTTTAGCACTGAATAATATTCTGTTGTAGGATGTACCACAATTTATCTATTCACCTACTGAAGGGTATCTTGGTTGTTCCAAGTTTTGGCAATTAGGAAAAAGTTACTGGCAACATTTGTGTGCAGGTTTTTGTGTGGATCATAAGTTTCCAACTTATTTGGATAAATTGCAGTGTTAAGAGTATGTTTAGTCTTCTAGGAAGCCACCAAACTACCTTCCAAAGTGGCTGTACATTTTGTATTCCCACCAGCAATGATGAGAAGTCCTGTTGCTTCACATTCTCACCCACATTTGGTATTGTCTGTGTTTTGATTTTTGAAATTCTAACTGGTGTGTCGTGGCATCTCATGGTTGATTTAATCTCCAAAGCTCTTTTCTATTGTGCGTAGGTATTTGTAGGGGGAGGTGAGGGGAACTCCTAGCTCTCATGTTAGAATCTTCCCAAATGTTTGGTAATCTTGGGCTATCTGCTCATGTTAAAAACACTGACCAAAAACTCTGAATGTGTGAGTGGAGATGGTCAACTCTGTGGTTGTACTGGGTTGAGCTAGTTTGGATTCTGAACATGGGGGTTCCCTGTTCCACCAGCCACCCAAGGCCAATGTGTGATTTTCATAGACTTATTGCATTAACAAAATCTTAACATTCATACTAGCCTGTACATCCCTTGGGCTTTATCAGACTGCAGAGATGGGTTCAATTTAGGGATAAATGCTTAATACTTGAACAAATGATGGAGACATCAGGAGGACTGTGGTCATATGCCCTGCTACTCTTGAGTGCAATTTGCCAATGAATCTCACCATTCCCAGGATCTATAATTTCTAAGCCTGGAACACCCACAGAGCTATCCTCTTTCACACATGTTCTGGGGTGTGGTGGGTGTCATCTATCAGACAGAGCCTACGTGCCTTCAGACTTGAAGAAATTTCTCAAAATTTCTTGTCTTCTAACAGTATTAATTATTTTGAAGTGCAGTGTTACATTTTTAAGAACAAATACAGTTTTTGATATTTTTAGGAATTTGGGTAGCCCACGTGGTTATTAGTCCATCATCTTGATCTGATCTATCCAGGTCATGTCAACATTTTGGAAAAACAGAAATGAAATTCTTCTGTCAAATAATGTAGACCCTTGAGGTAAGTAAGAATATAAAAAAAAGATATTATAATTACCTAGTCTAAGATAGGCATTTTATATATGCTATTCGTTCTATCTGCACAAAAAAATTTGAAAGATAGGTATTACCATCCCAGCTGTTCAGAGAATAAACTTGAGTCAGAAACAGTAGGAACTCACCCAAGGTCCCCATAAGCAGCACTGTGGGCCTAGGACCTTGAGCTGTCTCAGACCCGCTCATCTGCAGATGAAGAAACAGGCTGAAGTAGACAACTCATTCGCCAGAGTTAACTATAATCGGAAGCCTCATAGTTCCCTTGCATATTTTCTTGTTAATTGCTTCAAGGTTGGAAGTTACATAATTTCAATGACATTAATATGTAACAGCTTTATGTTTTGTTAACAATACTGAGTGTGAGATTGGTGTGGCTGGCAGAGAGAGGACCAGAGAGTTAAATAACGTTAACCAGATTAAAGGCATCCCAGGAACGCATAACTTGGCAATGAGTTGTTGAGCCATCTCTGCAGTCTGATAAAGTTCAAGTGATATGCAGGCTAGTATGAATGTTAAGATTTTTTTTTAATGCAATAAGTCTGTGAAAATCACACATTTCTTAATCAAGCCCCACTTCAGTGCTTCCAACTCCGCCCTCTCAGACTCTAAACTAATACTTTTCCCCCGCTGCTGCTTTCCACTTTTTCTGTGATTTAGAACAAATATTTCCCTTGGTAACCATTTTCCCTGGTTACTCGCTTGGCTGATTTTCTGTACAAAGAACTGAAAGGCATGTATCCCCAAGGGACGCAGTTATTTTAGATTTTACTAAGAAGTCAGTATTTTTCAACATTCCTTTCTTTGTTTTAAAGAAAGCTCTGGTTTTGTTTCATTTTCATCTGGAGACTTAAATGACACCAAGCAAAGCCTACTTAGTTTAGATTTCCAGGTAAAATGTTTTAAATTTTAAGTTTCTACTAAAGCATGTGGAATGGTTTTAATATTTGGGTGTTTTATGTTGCAAATATGTTTTAACACTTGAGGAAATTAGCTCTTACTGGTTTTGAAAGTTTAAAGTGTGTATTGTGCTGTTTACTTGTTTTTTTCAGAATGACTAATTCCGAAGTATTTAAAACTTTATGAAATTAGGATTAAATATATTTTTATATGTTTAAATAGAATTATATGCTCAATAGAAGTGTAAGTTGGTTTGAAAATTTCATTCTTTCCTATTTTTAAGTCCTAAAGGAGCATAAAGGATTAATTAAAACTGTTTTTCATTTTAAGCCTGTTAAGTGAAGTCAAAAGGGATAACAGGCATCTTGTAGCTTTGTGCAGAAGTTTAAAATTCTAAATTTAATACTTTTAAAGCTCATTTAAGACAGCTGATGAACAACTTCAAAAGGAGAAAAACAAAAAGTTAACTAAGATTTACAGATTATATTTAATGTTGGGCTAAACACAATAAATGCTAAAAAGAAAGAAAAATTTACTTGATCACAATAGCTCACTGTGTCATAAAAGTTTACCTCTAGAAACATACTCAATTGCAAAGGTTTTTTTTATTGAGGTAAATATTAAATACAATGTAAAATTCTATAATTTGCTGAAAATAATGAAGGCCTAGACATCAATTATAAAATTAGTATTGAGGTTGTTTCATGAAAATTATTTAAACATTTCAATAAGACTATTTAGATTCTGATTTTGTTAAAATTGAGATAGCTCTGTAAATTTATTTCTGTACCTATCTATTCAGATTTCTACATAAGTAAAAGTGAGCCAATTTGAGAGGGAAAAAAAGAAAAAAGACAAAGGGAGATGGTTTCCAGGATGGAGACACTGGGAGAAGGGTGAGCTCAGGCAGTGCTTTGCTAAGTAAGAGGTTCAGGGACAACAGGATGCTGGAGACCCTCATGAAAGTTTCTCTCCAGAGCCCTCAAATCCAGGGCCTCTCTCACCCACCACAGGATGGAGATTCACACATACAGCTGTCAAAGCAAGAAAATCTCCATGAACATGCAGAGCACAGAATTTACGCTCTGCTCTCCATCAGAGTTTGCTTCCCCTGCTACTCTGCAATTTCTACTTCTATCCTGTCCCACAACCCAACTTTTCATATTGCTTTCCCCTGCTGCTGTTGCTATTTCTTCCCAACATATTAGCTTGCTCTCTGAATTAACTTTTACAATTTCAGTTGCCAGTTAGCTAGGAGATTGGCTCCCCCTTACCTTTCGCATGTTAGTTTTTCTAAAACTAATGTACATTACAGAAAGTTGTTCTGATATAGTTTCATTTCAATGACCTACAGTTAAGGTTTTGAAATGACTGCAGTAATTAATGTACATATACACTGAACAAAAGATTCTAGGCTGAAGTTAGCAGACATGAAAATACCAGATGCTGCTATTTGACGAGCGAAGGTGAAGTACTGACAAGTCAGAATATGATCCAAGTGCAACCTGACTAGAGGCGGATAATTCTGGCAGATGAAATCATAAAAAGAAGTACTGAGGTTCCAGAGGGCAAACTAAGCAGACATCACAATCTCTTTCCTTCTCACCAAATACCTAGAAATAATAGAAGATATATTACAAACAAATACACAGGTGGCTATGTAGCTGCAGTAGGAAATAAGCAAGGAAGCTCCTGGTGAGATAGAAAGTGTGAGGAACCCTTAAATACAGAGAGAAGATGGGAATGAATTTAAAGAGGGAAAACAGCCTTGAACAGGTATGGGAGAGAACTGCGTAAAAAGAGCTTGCGTGGAAAAAAAAAAAAGTCATTAGATTAATAGATTCCAAGAAGGATACATTAAAGAAAAAAACCTATACATTATGGTAAAACTTCTGAATACTAAAAATGAGTCCAAAATCTGAAAAAAACTTCTTCAGAGAGAGGAAAAATATTTATTACAAAGAGATGAGAAATCCGATTCAAGTTAAACTTTTCATTAGTAACAGTAGATGTAAGAAACAAATGTAACAATACTGTAAAGTATTGAAGGAAAACTATTTTAACATCATAATTCTAGCTCTAAACAAATAGAATGATATTTTCTGTCATATAAGAATTCAAAATTTTTACAACCCGAATCATTTTCTTATAGAAAAAGGGATATATTTCAGGGAAATAAAACTGATCTGTGGGAATTCCTGCTCCTCATAATAGCAGACTAGGCAATTCAGACCTTTGAGCCTGCTGAGAATAATTAGAAAAAATACGTAAAATAAGAGGGCCAATATTGGGCATAAGACTGAAATTCAGAGTCTGGAACAGCTTTTCTTCTGGGGGCATCAGTGGATTCAGAAGAGATGACTGAGAAGCTTAGTGTAGCTTTAAAACGGCCTCACAAAGTAAGACAGAAACAAAATCAAGGAACAGGGCCAAGCAAGCAGCAAGGGTGACAGGGAAACGTGATGCGGATGGTATCACCAGGCTTTGGTTTGGGACCTAAAGCACTAATTATTAATTAGATGTAGTGAAACTCAGCTTCAAATCATTCAGTCTATGATTGATAGTGCCCTTAACCTCATGACTGAATGTAAACCCTATTAGGATAAATAAGATATCACTCTAGGCTTCAAAGTATTTTCATAATTTTTCATATACAATATATGGCAATCAAATGTCATCAGGCAAATGAAAAAACAGAACAAAATGGCTAAAAATCTAAAGAAATAAGAGACACAGAAACAGACATATAGAGGGTCCAGAAATGGAGTCTTCAGAGTCAGACTTTAAATAAATGTTATTACTATGTCCACAAAGTAAAAGACAAGATTGAAAAGATCAGTAGAGAATCAGAAACAAGAACTGAAAACTTGAAAAACTAAAAACAAAACAAACAACAACAACAACAACAAAAAACAGAAACAAGGAAGTCAATGGATGGATTTAACAGCAGATAAATCACAGGTGAGTAGGTAATTTGTGAACTGGAAGATAAGCTAGAAGAATAAGAAGGATCCGTCACAGGGTGACAAAAAGATGGAAAACACAAGACAGGGAAAGAGACATTAAAGACATAATGATAAGGCTCTTACACATGTCCCTGTAGTTCCAAAAAGAAAGAGGAGAGGTAAGTAGGAAAGTATTATTTGAAGAGGTAAGGACTAAGGAGTTCCCAAATTTGATGAATATCAGGCTATAGATTCAAGAAGCACTATGAGTCCCAAACAGGATAAAAACAAGAAAATCATATCTATGTATAATAGCATAAAACAGCTGAAAACCAAGTCAAAGAGAGTATCTTAAAAGCAGCCAAAAAAGTTACTTTTAAAGGAGGAATAATTAGGTTGACAGATGAGCACTCAATACAAAATATGGAGACAAGAAGACATAGGAATGAAATCTTCACAATGCTGAAAGAAAACATTTGTCAACCTAGAATTCCGTATTTAGCAAATACATCCTTTCAGAATGAACACGAAATATAAACATTTTCAGATAAACAAAGAATTGGTCCTTAGGAGTCCTGCACTAAAGGAATTACTAAAAGGTATTCTTCAATGAGAAAACAATCCTTACAGCAGATTGGAGATGCAGGAAAAAATAAGGAGAAGCAAGTAAGATAATGTTTAGGTAGATTTAGATCAGTGGTTCACAAATGGGGGCAGGATGATTCCCTCTACCCCCCCACCCAAGGATACATCCGGTAATGTCTTGAAGACATTTTTGGTTGTCAAAACTGAGAAAGGTGCAACTTGTATCTACTGGGTGGAAGCAGGGGTGCTACTAAATATACAAAAGCCGGCCCCAGCCTCCCCACACCCCATGAGAAAAGAATCATCTGACCCAAATGTTAACATGCTAAGGTTGAGACAGCCTGATCTAAATGAACTTCAGTGTAACATAATAAGCTTTTGAGGGTTTAACATATATAAAGAATTAAGATATATGACAAAAGTAATATATGTGCCAGAATGAGGTATGAAAACTTGTCCTGGCCCTTGTATTGTCCAGGAAGAGGTAAAGGTACTAATTTATATTAGACTTTATAAGTCAAAGATGTATGTGGTTATCTCTACAAAGAACAGAATAGCAAAAACTGTATAACTACTAATGGAATAATAGAAACCAAGTAATCAATTAAAATGAAAGTAAGCAAAAATGGAAAAAAAGAACACAAAATAGGCAGGACAAGGAGAAAGCAAATAGTCAGAAAACAGATTTAAACCTAAACATAGCAAGTATTACATTAACTACAGATAGACTAAATATTCCAATTAAAAGATAATAACTGTCATATTGCACTACGATGATATGCTAATATGAAGTATATTAAAAATATGAAAGGTTGAAAGTAAAATAATGCAAAAAATATATCTTGCAGACATTAACAAAAAGAAAGCAGCTACATTATGAGACAAAGTTGATCTTAAGACAAAATACACTACTAGAGATACAGAAAGGACCTGGGAGGAGGGTATAGCTCAAGTGATAGAGCACATGCTTACCATGCATGAGGTCCTAGGTTCAATCCCCAGTATCCCCTCTAAATAAATAAATAAATAAATAAATAAATACATAAATAAATCTATCTACCTAATTCCCCCTTCCAGCACCCCCCAAAACAACAGAAAGTACCTAATGCTAAAAGCACCAGAAATATATAACTATACGTGTGTATATACCTATACTATAGCCTCAAAATATACTAATAAACACAACCAAAATGACTGACAAATATTAAATTACACCCAGAAGTAAACCCAAGGAACAACAGAGTTCAACAATAGAGAATCTATTATTACACTGTTGTAAATGAAAAATTAAGAACACAAAAATATTTCCAGAAGATATATGCACAAGAATGTTTATAGTAGAGAAAAAAATGGGACAAATTAAATATCCATCACCAAATTCCTTGTTAAATAACTTATGGAAAGAAAACAGAACAGACAAGATGGATTAATGTACATTGACACAGATGTCCATATGACCACA